TTTTTCTCTTTCTCTCTCTCTTTCCTTTTGTTTTTATCTCTTCCTGTTTCTCCTTCTCTCTTTTTCTTTCTTTCTTTCTCTCTTTCTTTCTACCAAGCCTTAAAAACTACCCTTAAAAGTTTTGTGCTTAAAAGGGAAGATACAAGGCTATGTTGTACCCAATTAAAAAATAGTTTAGACTTACTAGTAGTAGGATGGAAAGCTCCTGAGCAGCATTTCTCCAGCAATAATAGTATCTCACCCATGTCAGGGGACCCACTTTTTTGGCCTTTGCTGGTCAGAAGATATTCCTTCAGTCCCTATTAGAATGCATTAGAATGATAATAGCAGTGTTTATATTATGCTCATTAAATGCCAGCAGGAACACTGGATAATACACTTAGATACCACAACCCATGGAGACACCAAGGTTACTATCATTTCCTTCTGTTTACTGATGACATGGGCTTCATGAGGTCATACTCAAAGTCACATGCAGAGTCAAGGTTCATGCCAAAGTTCTTAACCAGCCTTTCTTCTGCTTCCCCTAGAGGTCTTGTGCATTTGGGGTACAGATGGGTATCAGGAGGCCAGTTTCTACACAGGGTGGGTAGTGTATCACCAGTGATAGGCAGTAGAGACATTGAAATGCTCACTAATTCCCTTCGGGGATGCCTAGTCCCTGGCTCAGGCACAGCACTTCTGGGTTTATAGCTGCAGAAATCTCATGGCTCTCACATTGTCTGCCGAAGGATATGAGACGTGAGTTGGCAGATGGCCTTGCTGGGCTGGGACAGAGCAGTAAGTGTTCAGACCCAGCTGACATGCCTGAACACCTCACAGAGGCATTTCCCCAAATCCCACCCTTGCTCATAGTCCTGCAAGATTGGTTCTTCCTTCAAGGGGCTCAATTCCATATCACATCACTGTGTATCAAATAGCACTGTCTGCTCTTTATCCATGTGGCTTCTGTGAGGGCAGTAGGAAAGGAAAAGGTCATGTTTATCTCTGTTGTTGCATTTGGTGCCAGGTACAACAAAAACCAAGGGCATTAGAGCCCCGATGACCTTGGTAACTTGATCTCTTGCATTCCATGTGTTATAGCCAAGGGATAAATACTGGAGTTTAATGTCTAAGAGATGATTACTATTTTTGCATTTACAAAATGTTTTCATGTTATCTGAGCCTCATCACAGACTTTACAGGTAAAGAAAATATAGCACTTGCTTTGGTGCCCCCATGGACCTGGATTCTGACCTGTATACTCAGCCACTACCCAGCTTTGTATATCCTCTAGGGCTCACTTTCTGTAGCTTATAAATGGTCATAATTGCTAGATGAGTCATGAAGTTTTTAATGAGGGGTGGAGGTCTTGATATATAAGGAGAGTTTGGCAGAGTAAGTGGCATAGAAAATAACCAGGACATATTAGCTTAGTACTAGTCCAATTGTCCAGCTATTAGGAACAAATCTGGCTACAATTAATAGTAAAGTGATATCAACTTAAACAAATTGTGGTTATTTTCTCACATAATAGGAACTCAGAAGCAGTATGCCGGCCAGGAGCTGAATGATGTCATTAAAGACTTTATTTCATTTCCTTCTACTTTCCATTGTTGCCTCACAGTTGCAAGATGGCTGCTGCATTTCTATCCATTGTTTGGAGTGCAGAAGTACAGTACTAGTCATATTTTCCACTCTATACAATAGGCAAGAGCCTTCCCAGAACCTTACTTACAACCTCAGTAGATACTTGCTTATGTATGTCTTATTGGCCTAGACTAAGTCTTTTGCCTTCATAGTTACAAGGAACACTTGGAAAATGAGCTTTTCAGATTCATTGTAAAGCAGGCATGGAAGAAGATAGAATAAAATGGAGTAAGTTGAGCCAATAGGACTTGCCATGGTCGTTCATGTATTTTGCATTGTCATTTCAAAGACATTTAATTGGCCCTCAGGTATAGTGGGCTCAGTCCAATGTGCTCACAGCACATGAACAGCAACCCCCATTTCTAAATGATTTCCCTTTATTCTCACATAATGTGTATGTGCAGCTATTTTTTCCCCTAATTTCCCCTCACACCTAGACCTGATCTTTCCATGTATCCCAGACTGGTCTCAAACTTGAGCAGCTCCAATCTCAGTGGGCTCTGAGTGTTCATTGTTCAGTTTGCCCATTTGTGGGGTTCATTCTTTGTGGGTCTGATGTCTTTCACTCAGCTATGAGCTTTACCTGTGTTATTGCACAGGAAAGGTCAGTGGTCCTCTGCTTTCTCCCCCACTTTGTATCTGTTCACAGACCTGGGATCATGAGCACACAGGTCACACACAGATAGAAGTTTTCCTTCTCCATTGATGGAGTGTCGTTTCCTCATGAAAAACACTGCTGTGACTTCTCACAAAGCTTGCCTGTGCCCGGCTGCTGCTGGCTCCAAAGCTACTTTAAAAGGAAGCTCTGGGAGACTTATCCATTTGCTGGAAGATGCGGTCAGCATAAAAGAATTTTCTTGGAGTGGGTGGTGGAAGAGAGTAGGGGATGGATTTGATCTGGAAGGACATTTTTAGGCAAAGGGGAAAAAGCAGCCACTAAAAGCATCATTTGGAACCAGAGCCTGAAAGTTAAGAGATTGGCATCATCCTTCTGTGTTCCTTCCCTTTCATACTCTCAATGAAGGACACAAGAAACTCCCAGCACCTCTGCCCTGTCTTGGGGTTGGGCAATCTGGTGTGAACTCAGGTCATTTCTGGAGAAGCCATCTTTTCCCAAGACTATGAGCACACCTAGCAGATCTGGTGTGTCTTTTATTTCTCTGTGAAAACAATCTGGGACAGACCAACTTGAGAGCAGGAGAAAAGAGCTGAGAATTTCAGTGGAGACTGAAGTGAGGAAAGGAGCTAGTTATTCATACAAGTATGGTCATGTATGTAAGTCAGGGATCATATAAGAAAACTGAAACTCTGTAATTTTCTCTGGTGGCTGGTCACCACAGACTTGTGTCTGCTGGGGTAGTGTCCTGGCATAGTTGTCTAAAGCTATGTCAGGAATTCTTTGTGCTAAAGCAGTTAGAATATGTTATTCATTGTATTGAGTAGTTTCTATATTCCTAGCGCTTGCTAGAGGCTTTGCAATATATTATTACAATTGTTCTTCACAGCACCTAGGAAAGACTGTTACTATTTTACTGCAAGTAAACTAAAGGACAGAAAATTTAAATAACCTGCTAGTAAAGGCCAGAAGAAAGGCTGATATTCATTCTTTCAGATTCCAACAGCTTTGAACCTTGTACTATATTTTCCTATCTTCTTTTTTTTTAAAAAAGTTATTGTATAGGTGATGTACAGAGGGGTTACAGTTACATAAATTGGGTATTGAGTACATTTCTTTTGAACAGTGATACCCCCCTCCTTAATTTTCTCCCAATTTTTCCCTCCTTACCCCTCTCCCCCCAAGTTGTATAGTTTCATTTCCAACATAGTGTCTAGTGAGTAGCATTGCTGAATTAGTCACTCTTTGTCCCACCATTTCTGTGCTTCCCCTTCCCCTCCCCAAATCAGATACTTACATACCATACAAAAGGCACAGAAATGAAAGGCAGCGACAAAAGGGGAAAAAAGACAGAAAGGAACAAGAAAGAATCACAAAACGTAAAATAAAAAAAACCTTTTTTTCCCATTTTTGGAGTTCCTGTCTTCTTAAAATATATTGAATAATAAGGAGATGTGGGCTCAATCCTGTCACTGCAAATCAAAACTGGTCACAAGACTGTAAGCATAGACCCAATTGTTGTATGCCTCAGTTTCTCTTATTTGAGGAGATTGGAGACTCTGATTTCTGATACTACCACCTAATCTAAAACAGGAGCACTTGCCACCTTTTTTTTTAAATTTGTGGTTCGAAAATGGGTTCAAAATGCCAGCAATTCTTAAAGGTAGCTTAATTATTAAGTGTAAATTCAGAGAGGTAGATAATGTTTCAGTTTTTAAAAATACACATACAGACACACGTACACACACACATACACTCATTCTTTAATTTCTCAAGTAAGGCTACATTTTCCATTGCCTTTCCCAGTCCATCATTCACACCAAGAAATGGTGTTCTTAAATAATTCATGTTGAAGCTTAGATTCCTTGAGGGTCTGGCAGGCTTTCATCTTGGATAGGATGATATAACATATTGCCAATAGCCAACCTCAAGTTGCCAACCTAAATAAAAATGTCTCCTTGTTCACTATATGAATTTGCAATATAAACCCTCTTAAATTATACCTTGTACTATTGAATTTAATTAAGACACTATTAAGCAGCTCTAAAAATAAGAAATAAGACGCTACTATGCCCTAAGTAGTTATGAATATGCTGTACTCAAAGAAATTATTACTGTATCATTTCAGACCCAGAAAAGAGAAAACTGGCCATGTGAGTGACTCAGGAGCATCTGTTGTCAAACATGGACTCAATCCAGAGAAGACCTTCATGCAGGTTCACTATTTAAAGGTAACTGAACAATTAATGGCAGAAGCTACTTTTAAGTTAAACAATTACATAACAAAGATTAGCAATATGTTTGAAACAAAGCAAAAAAAAAATCAACACTGTAATGACATTTCCCGAGGCAGAATCTTAGTGCCCACTAATTAAAACACTTCATACCCTAGGCCACTTCAGGTCAAACTTTCTAATTGCTATAAGTTTCCACCTGGAAAATGGATAAAAAGGAAGCATTTTAGGCTGAAATCGTTAATCCTGGGGGCTGAAGAAGAGAGGTACTGAGCCTCTCTTCTCTTTTGACTCATGTGAACCAGGTCAAAACAGGTGGTTTTAGCGTTAACAAGGGGGCTAAAGACTATCCTTCATGTCCATGCCCATCCTTCCTGGTCAGAATATAAAGGGTAGCCTGGGAGAGAAAGGTGGTACCTTCTACATACACAGAGTACATACACAGAGTACACACAGTGTGGGGAAGCACAAGCATCTTTGTTTTTCTCTCTTCTTTTTTTCTCCTAGGGCTACTTCCTTCTGCGATTTCTTGCCAGAACCCTTGGAGATGAAACCTATTTTTCATTCTTAAGAAAATTTGTGCACATGTTTCATGGGCAGTTGATTCTTTCACAGGTAATTTATGGGTCCTCATGAGAACCTGATATGCAATGGGAGGTAATGTAGCATGTGGGGATTGGATGATGTCAGTATGAAAAACAGGAGAAAGATTTAGCATTTTATGCAAGGGGGAAAAAGAGAAAGTTAATGAAGTGAATACAAGGGAATTGTTGGTCTAGGGGGAGAGCAAGCTCCTGAGAGTTCAAGGACAAGTTGTAACCCCAAAGCAATGTCCTGCATAGTGATAAACAGTAAAAGTGTTGTGTCCTAAATGACATTGACAACAAGAACAAACTAAGACTATTATTTTCTCTGCCTGGAATTATCTTTACAAGATTTTCTACTTGGAACCCTTGGATTGTCATTTGATGCCACAGTGTCAAAGTCATCCTAGCTGATGACACATATGCATCAACCTCTTCTCTACTCCTCTGCCCTGTTGATTGTCTTCAGTGTCATTGCTGTTATATTTATAATCATATTTTAATTTCTGGAGTGTTTGTTGTTTTCTATCGCTTCCACTCAGTAGGACCTTTTTTTCACCTTATATAAAATACATGGCTGACATACAGTATATCTGCCATGAATATTTGATAAACAAATTAATAGCAAGACATATTGAACTATTCAGACATAAAACTATCAGAGAAAGACCTTGTCAGTTCACAAAGTAGGGGATGGAGCAGCACATAGCAAGAAATCTAACAAAGAGTGAGAGGTTCAAAAAGTTGTCCTCATAGCTGACAGAGAACAGATGATGCACCCAATTTTTGCTGGCTAATTGGAGATGAGAGTTTCACAGACTTGTCTGCCGGGGCTGGCTTTGAACCTCAATCCTTATATCTCAGCCTTCTGAGTATCTAGGATTATAGATGTGAGTCACCAGCACCTAGCACTCACATAAACTTGTGAGCTACATTATCCATGTTAGAGCTAAAGAATACATATGTATAATCTGAAATATATGGAGGGAATAACATGAGTATAACAAGAAGACATAGGTACATTTCTGAATTCTTTTAATCTTTTAAGTAGCTAGTAGAGAGAGATTTAAGAATCAATTTACAAGTACCATATGGTTGGTTGACTGATAAATCCAAATTCCTGCTGTGTCAAATGAGTATCTTGTATTTACTGTGACTTCTGAGATTCTGATTTCTCATAAACTCCTAAAGGTCCATTTAGTACTCTCTCAACCAAGCTGATCAATTTTTCTTTTGCTTGACTCTTTAAGAACCTTATTGAGATATAATTCACATACCATAAAAATCATATTTAAAAATAGCTCTAGGCTGGATACCTGTGGCTCATGCCTATATTCTTAGTTACTCAGGAGGATGAGATGTGAGGTTTGAGGTTCAAAGCCAGTCTGGGACAGGAAAGTCCTTGAGACTCTGTTATCTCCAACTAGCCATGGAAAAACAGAAGAAAAATTGTGGCTTTACGTGGTAAAGTACAGTGGTAAAGTGCTAGCCTTGAGCAAAAAAGGTCTAGGCCTTGAGTTTAAGCACTCAGACCCTGAGTTAAATTCCCAGAACTGTCACAAAAAAAAGTGCTCTAGTTAGTGTGTGTGTGGGGGGGGGGGCGTTGTTTGTCAGTTGTGAGGCTTGAACTCAGGTCCTGGACACTGTCCTTGACATATTTTGCTCAAGGCTAGCATTCGACCACTCTGAGCCACAGCTTCACTTCTGGTTTTTAAATGGCTAATTGGAGATAAGATTCTCATAGGGACTTATTGGCCTGGGCTGGCATCAAACCGTGATCCTCAGATTTCAGCCTCCTGAGTAGCAAGGATTATAGGCGTGAGCCAGCACCCACCTAATCAGTGATTTTTTTTTTAGTGTGTTTATAAAATTTTATGCTCACCAACATTACTTATTTTTTTAAAAAAATGTTTTACCATAGTGGGACTTGAACTCAGAGATTTTTGCTTAATAGTTATAAGCTCTATCTCTTGAGCTGTTTCCACTCCTGTTTTGCTTTCATTATTTTTCTAACAGGGTCTCACTTTTGCCCTTCTTGGATCATGATCCTCTTACTTGTATTTCAAGCTTTCCACATAATTGGGATGGAAGGCACAAGCCACCATGTCTTGCTCTTTATTGGTTGAGATACAGTCCCTTGAACTTTTTCCCAGGGTGGTCTTGAAGTACAGTCCTCCCAATCTCTTCTTCTGGGGAAGCTAGGTATACAGATGTGAGCTACCACTCCCAATAGAATTATCTATTTTTAGAATATCTTTATCAATCTCAAAAAAATCTATAGCAGTCACTTCCCCATAGGGAAGATAACCACCAATCTACTTTTTACATTTATGAATTTGTCTATTATACGTATTTCATAGAAGCAAATCACATGTATTATATATACATATATATAATCTTTTGTATCTGATTTGCATCACATGTTTCCAAGGTTAAACAGTATATATGCATCAGTGCTTCATTCTTTTCTGTGTGCCTTATTATGTTGCCTAGATTGGTTTTGGTCTTGAGTCTTGATCAGCTTTGTGAGTATTTTTTTGTGGTTAGTACTTGGCTTTCAACTCAGGGCCTCACACTTTGCTATGCAAGTGCTCTACCACTGGAGCTATGTCCCTCGCTCCATTTAAAACATTTTAAATATTATTAATTATGATAAAATATACACGCCACAAAATTTACCATTTTATCCATTCCTAAGTATACACTTAAGTGGAGTTAAGTACACTTACATTTTTGGGCAACCATTACTATCATCTATTCTCCATAAATTTTTCATCTTCCCAAACAGAAATTTTGAACACATTAAGCAGTCATTTCTCATTCTTCTCTCTTTCAGCCCTCAGTATTAGGCAATCACCATTCTACTCTCTGTTTCTATGGGCTTGACTACTATAGTTTGTTCATGTGAGTAGAACTACACGATTTTTTTTTATCCTTTCATGCTTTTGTGTTTGCCTACCTCACTTAGCCTAATGGCCTCAAGGGTCATCCACGTTGTAGCCACTATTTTCCTTTCAATAGTCCATTGGAAATACATACCATATTTTGTTTATCCATTCAGCATTCATGTACATTTATTTGAGTTGTTCACACCTTTTGGCTGTTGTGATTAATGCTGCTAAAAAAACATTAGTGCTTAAATATCTGTTTGAGTCTATGCTGTCAATTCTTTTGTGTATGTATATATTAGAACTGGTATTATATCGCAATTGTTTTCAGATTTTTGAGAAACTGCTTGTGGTTTCATACCATTTAAGTACAAGAATTCTAGTTTCTCTACATGCTTGTCAACACTTATTGCCTTTTGATTTTTTTGGTTATTCTGGTGTAAAACTATATTTCATGATGGTTTTGATTTGCATTTCTCTAGTGGCTATTGGTGTGAAACATTTTTTATGTTCTTATTGGCAATGAATTTCTATTAAAATTCTTTACCTTCTTCCTCCTTTCTTCCTCTTCCTCCCCCCCCTCCCTTTTTTTTTAACAATGGAAAGTTTCTTTGAAAGTGTATGGAAAGCCATGAAATAAAGTAGCAGAAACTTGAGCTGGAGAGGGCAGTAAAGAGAATCCTCTTTTGTGACTTTTTTTTTTTTTGAGATAGAGTCTTACTATATAGCTTAGGTTGGTCTCATACTCATGATTTCTTGCTTCTCCTAGGAGAAGCATAGTTTTCCTTTCCTTTCCTTTCCTTTACTTACTTTTTATTTACATTGTTTTTTATTAGTATATTAAAACAGTACTTCATATATTCTGGATATGTCTCTTATCAAATATATGACTTGTAAATATTTTCCTTCATTTTATATATTGTCTTTTTTTTTTTTTACTTTTCTGGTAGTATTCTTTACAATGGAAAAGGGTGTTGTTGTTTTTGACAAGTCCAATTTATCCCTTTTCTCTTTACTTGCTTATTTCTCCAGGATTGCCATATCTAAAAACTATTGCCTAAAAAGTTCCTGAAGATTCACTTCTATGTTTTTTTCTAAAACTTTTATAGTTTTAGCTCTTACATTTAAGTTTCTGACCTAATTTATATTAGTTGCTTATGGTATAAGGATAATGGTCTAACTTAATTCTTTTAGATATAAATACCTATCTGTGCCATAAATATTTCATGGAAAGACTATTAGTTTTCTTTCCTTGAAAAAAATAAACCAGGGCTGGGAAGGTGGCTCAGTGGTAGAGTGCTTGCCTTGCATGCCTGAGGCCCTGGGTTCGATTCCTCAGCACCACATAAGCAAAAAAGAAAGAAAAAGCCAGAAGTGGCGCTGTGGCTCAAGTGGTAGAGCGCTAGCCTTGAGCTGAAGAGCTGAGGGACAGCGCCCAGGCCCAGAGTTCAGGCCCCACGACCAGACCTAAAAGAAAAAAAATAATAAACCAATGACCATTAATTTAAGAATTTATTTCTGGAATCTCAATTATATTGATCACGATTTCTAACATAATGACAGTTTCATACTGTCATGATTACTATAGCTTTGCTTTATAGTTGGAAATTACTGCTCTTTGAACTGCTATGTACTCATTACAAAAAGTGAAGCAATATGGAAAAGTACAAAGAAGGAATTAAAACATCATTCAAAATTCCATCATCCAAAAGTAACTATAGAATGTAATTTAGCAATAGAATGTTTGCTAGCGTGCACATAGACCCCAACATTACAAACACAACACAAAAAATACATAGAAGATAGTCCTATTTATATGAAACTTCCATATTCATGAATATTTTATTTTGAATCAACTCTTAGTTGGCTGAATTTCATTAACAAATTGATGTTGAAGTTGCCATTTCACATGTGACTTCGAGTTCTTACTGCTTAAGAATAAGAGAGAACTGTGGTTTGTATTCAAACTAAAAAATAGCTAGAGACCAGCCAGGCACTGGTGGCTTATGCCTGTAATTCTAGCTACTCAGGAGGCTCAGCCCAGACACAAAAGTCGATGAGACTCTTATCTCCCATTAACCACCAGAAATGGAAGTGGCACAGTGGCTCAAAGTGGTAGAGCACTAGCCTTGAGTTGAAGAGC